CACTGGGACAACAAGTCGGCTCAAAGGGCTCCTCAGACATGAACCACAGGGCTCTTTCTCGCAGCGTGTGCTTTCTCTGCGAACTGCCTAATAAAAGCTGTTTCATGGCAAAGGCAGGCTGGCAAAGGGAGCCATAGCTCTTAGGTGGGTGCTATCCCTGAGAGCACCGGCAGTCTTAGCAGAGCCTATTTATTGGTGCTTCTTCCTTCGAGGAGTAATAACTTCCAGATTTACTCCCTTTCTAACTGAGCATCTTTCAAAGTGGGTGTAGAACTATTTAAATAGCTTCTGTGGAGGTGGGATGAGAAATTGCTCTTATTCTGTAGTCTGCAATCAGGACCAAACAAGCACTTTTCTCCACTGCACACACAAACAGGCAAGCATCTGCCAGCAGCCTCAGCACTTTAGATCTGATTTTCTGCTCACTGGTGTAAGACACGAGGAATTCCACTAACATCAACAGAGTTTCAACAGTGTAGTTTTTATTTTATTTTATTTTTAATCCAGTTGAATATCCATATTTTTTTTACCCCAGGGACTCCTCAGTGACTGTGCTCCAGGAGGAGGCAAACCTCCACCGCGGCCCATGGACAGAGAAGCCCCTTTGCAGCCCTTGCTGCCCAGCATAGCTGGGCCATGGTGTGGTTCTGCACAGCCCTTTTCCTGGATTTTGGAAGGGTCAAGGAACAGCTCCATGACCTGCTTCTTCCCAGACAGCCAAACACATCCTCCTGCACCGGAGAGAGGAGCCTGCAGCATCCCTGGAGGAGGTGGAGGCTGCAGACATCCTGGGGTGCCCTCCTGGGACGTCTTAATTAGGCGCTTTGCTTTGCCAGCTGGGAGGAGCCTCGAATCCAAAGGCTGATCACTTGGGGAGAACAGACCCAGTGAAGGGTAAATGTAAAGTGTGCAAGGCCCCAAACTCATCCCTGCTTGGATGAAGCAGAAATGTGATGGGGAGCAAAAAGTACAAAGAAGCCCTGAGCCTTCAGAGGTGATGGAGTCAGAGGAGAGCCAGCCTCTCCGGTGGCTTCCAGAGAGAGCCTCTGCCTGTACCAAATGGAAATGTAGCCACTCACTCCAGCAAACCCCAACAAAAGTTTGGGTCCTTGCTGAATCAGTTCTGTAGCTGGTGATGTGTGGTATTTTTGTGAACTGCTTTTTTTTCTTTTGGTGGAAACATGGGTGGCAATCTGATTAGTTTATGATTCATGATTTGGCTAATGTCCCTACTTCCCCCGGTCCCCACCTGTTCAAATAACTAATACTGTAATGTAGGCTGTTAACTTGAAATAACTTTTCCAATCCCTTTCATAAATGAACTCTAAAAGCTGCTTTGAGTCTTGTCCACGGGCAGAAGTTGTAAAAATTTAACTTAAATGCTTTTAAAACCAACTCAACCTGGTGCAAAACTCTATGTGGGCATTAAGGAAGAAACAAGTTCACTTTGAGCTGTTCCCAGTCAGCTAATGCTGTGATCAGGCATGCTGTTGGAGAGCCTGGTTTCCAGCCACTGCTGCTTGTCTCTACTCACCAAAGGCACCACGCAGAAATACTGCTCCTCACCCAGCCCAGACAGCAGGACCCAGGTGAGCAAACTCTCCCATTCAAGGAGCTGCAGCTGATGTGAAATATTGTGCCAGAGCAGGGCAAGGAGAGGCTGCTCTGTGCAGCTCGACTGCCAGACCTCGCAGAGCGGAGGGAAAGCCTGCACGAGCAGCTGCGGTGGGTTGAGGTTCATGACTTGAGCCAGCTCAGCCACCGTCACATCAGTGAGCCTGACACTGCACCTTTGGTCACCTGGTCCTGTGCCCACCACTCACCACTGCAATTAAACCAGCATGAGTGAGTTACACCAGTGGCTCCATATGCCCTTTGCACCAATTTAAACAGATCAATCAGGCTTGAGGCAACTTCCCAAAAGACCTAAATTATGTAAGCAGTACAGTGCAATCAAGAAAAAAAAAATAGGAAAAAAGGGAAATACTGGTACTGAACTCACCAGAGGATTGATTTATTATATTCCTCAATTGGCCAAGATATTGCAAAAGAAAGGTTAGATAATTCTGAAGCACACATGCATTTCAGGCTCTGGTCTTACAACCTCATGAAGACTGTTAGGCAAATCCTGATCTTGCCCAGTCCTCTTCTGACCCTGTGTTCCTCTGCATTCACCTGCCTCGTTCCCTCATTTGGCAGTTTGGTGCTTTGGAGCATGTTTAGTCCTCACTTCTTCCATTGCAACAGATGTCTAACCCTTCTCCTGTAAGTTCACCCTTCCCCAGTGGCAGGTCGGCAGGTTGGGGTTTGCACGCAGTGCCCTGTGCCATGGGCAGGATGCGGAGCCTGTGGACCTCCCAAAAACAGCACAAAGGCAGCAGAGAGAAGAGCGGTCGTGTGACCACTCTGCTGCAGTCATGATCCAGGTTTTGCACCAGGGGAGGTAGATGCTTTGCCTGTGGGTAAAAGCAGTAAGTTCACCAAGGAAGTGCCTCTCCATAGGTGGTGTGCTAATTTCACCCCTGGCAGACAGCATTAATATAATACATCAAAGCTGGCTGCATTAATAGCAAACTAAGGGAAAGGATTTGCTATACATGCTAGCTACTTTTCAAATGCAAATGTCTGTTTTAAATCAGATTAAGACAGAAGGAAGCCTAGAGAATGCCAATAATTAATACATGATAAAGGAATAAACATCCAGGGCATCAAAAGGTAAAACACAATCACAAAGATGAAAGTAATCCACCTTCTCTGTGCAGCAGAGCAGGCTGCACAGAGTGAGTGTGAGTCCCCATTTCCATAGGTAGGTGGTGAGTGTAAACCCAAAGCAGCTGCTGAGGAAATAAGAAGAATCCTTAAGCTCAGCTGGGGAAGTGGAGAATCTCTGTGCTGGGCTGGGCTTAGGTAGGCTCAGCTTGGCTCTCCGGACTCCCCAGATTTTGTGAGCAATGCCATTGCAGAGAGGGAGCACTTCTGTTCATTGCCATGACCTGTCCCTTCAGGGTGTGCATGCTTAGCTTCTGTGGCTTTAAACCAGTGAGAAAGGTGATTTTGGGATCCCCAGTGAGCCATGAGTGGACCTCAGAAATATTTTGCTGTGGCTTCCCTGCCTCCTTTTCCACATATGAAAAACAGACCAGCCTCTCCCTCTCTCCCCTCGCTCCCCTAGACCTGCATGTTGAGTTACAGTTGAGGTTACAGCAGGACATATCTCATCTACCTTGAATCTTAAAACAAGAGAAACAGGAAACTTAAGGGAGAATGTTAACAGTCTCTATCCCCTGTTTCATATTTCTTACAATTTACACAATTCTGGCACTGGACCTGTGGCAGTGCCCTGTGGGTTTACTTCCTTCTTCAACTGATACTGAAATAGCAGCACTTACTCTGGCTTTATTAAGCTTGCATAAGGCACCAAACTGTAGCGGGCCTTGCATATCGATTGTATCAAGAGATAAGCAGGCCTGACTCGAACACAGTCCATGCATGCGGGAAGCTCGCTTCTCTGAAGGCAGATAAACATCACTGTTAATGTTTGAAAGCTGCTGCTCAGCGGTAAGCTCCGTCAGATAAGCCCTGGGGCTGCTGGTTTCACTGACTGGTCTATTTACTGGTCCCTGGATTTGGAAGGTACTTATCTTACCAAGTGGTTCTTTATTTTCAGCCCTAGATACCAGAAGAGAAGTAGAAGTTTCTTCCCAGGCCCCTCAGGAGTTGTGCTGCTGACTTAAAGATTCACAAAGCGTCCCCAAATCAGAACGTAGGGCTTAAAACTCAAATCATAGAATCACAGCATGGTTTGGGTTGGAAGGGACCTTCAAAGATCATCCTAGTCTGACACCTTGCCACGGGAAGGGACATATTGCACTAGATCAGGTTGCTCAAAAACTGAAAGCCTCATCCAGTCTGACCTTGAACGCTTCCAGGGATGAGGCATTCACAACTTCTGTGGGCAACCTTTTCCAGTGTCTTAGCATTCACTTTGTAAAAAAATTCTTCCTTATATCTAATAGAAATCTACTCTCTTTTAGCTTTAAAACAGTTGCCCCTTTCTCTGTCAGTACAGGTCCTGGCAAAAAGCCCCCTTTAAGTACCGAAAGTCCACAATAAGGTCTCTGCAGAGCCTTCGTTTCTCCAGGCTGAACAACCCCAACTCTCTCAGCCCATCCTCATAGCAGAGGTGCTCCAGCCCTCTGACCATTCTCGTGGCATCCTCTGGATCCGCTCCAACAGGTCCATGTCTTTTCTGTACTGGAGGCCACAGAGCTGGATACAGTACTGCCAGTGGGGTTTTATGAGTGCAGAGTAGAGCGGGAGCATCACCTCCTGCATCACCTGCTGGCCACACTTCTTATGCAGCCCGGGATATGGTTAGCTTGGTGCACTTTTCTAGCTTGTAGTTATTGCAAATTATTACAAACTGAACAGTAAGGATACTCTGGGCTCCTCTCTCCTGATTTATGATCATCTTCATAGGGACAAAACCCTCTCACTGGCCCACGAGAACACTCTTTTAAAAATAAACTGAAAAAAATCATACAGTTTCCACAAGCCTCTTACATTTCTCTCTTTCTTTCTGATATTAATTTAAAGCCACATTGGGCTGAAGGGAGCCCCCAGCTCAGCCATGGTGTGGACAGATGGATAGTGTGGGCAGTTGGCCCTTCCCATCTGACACGACAGGGATGGAGGTTACTGCCTCCATCACATGCTGATAATTCTGTGCTTGCTGCTGGCAGAAGCAAAGGCAGTTCTAGTCATTCTGGGAGAAAAGCCTGCTGCAGCCCAGGGTGGCTGCGCTATTATAGAATCATAGAATCATTTAGGTTGGAAAAGACCTTTAAGATTATCGAGTCCAACTATAAACCTAACACTGCCAAGTCCACCACTAAGCCATGTCCCTAAGCACCACATCTACACGTCTTTTAAACACCTCCAGCCATGGGGACTCAACCACTTCCCTGGGCAGCCTGTTCCAATGCTTAATAATCCTTTCAGGGAAGAAATTTTTCCTAATACCTCCCCTGGCACATCTTGAGGCCATTTCCTCTTGTCCTATGACTTGTTACTTCAGGAAAGAGGCTGACCCCCACCTCCCTTCAGGTAGTTGTAGAGAGCTATAAGGTCTCCCCTCAGTCTCCGTTTCTCCAGACTAAACAACCCCAGTTCCTTCAGCCACTTCTCATAATATTTGCTCTCCAGACCCTTCATCAGCTTCGTTGCCCTTCTTTAGACACGCTCCAGCACCTCAATGTTTTTCTTGTAGTGAGAGGCCCAAAACTGAACACAGTATTTGAGGAGCTGTGCTGAGAACAGGGGGACGATCATTTCCCTAGTCCCACTGGCCACACTATTTCAACACACAAGCCAGGATGCCATTGGCCTCCTTGGCCACCCGAGCACACTGCCGGCTCATATTCAGCCAGCTGTCAGACAATACCCCAGGTCCTTTTCTGCCAGGCAGCTTCCCAGCCACTCTTTCCCGAGCCCGTAGCGTTGCATGGGGCTGTTGTGACCCAAGTGCATTACCACGCTGCTCTAAGGGCCCATGCTTTCCTGCACTAGGTGTATGTCACCGTTATCATCCTCCCTCAGAGCATCCTCCAGATCCCTCCTGGAAGATGCTTGTGCAACAGGAAAGTCTTACAGCACGGGCCAGGCCTCTCACAGGAGAGGAAAGAGCAAGTTCCCAAAGGTGAGGTCTCTCATTGACTGGGCTTTACATTCAGCTCCGTAAATTCGGGAATCATTGCTGGCATAAAAATCAGAGAGTCACAGAATGGCTGATGTTGGAAGGGACCTCTGGAGGATATCTGGTCCAACCTTCCTCCTCAAGCAGGGTCACCTAGAGATGATAAAATAAAGGAGATGCAGTTGGTGCCTGTGGTGCTTGAGCTCTTAACCACATGTAATGACAAAAATCCAGCCAACTCTCCCTGGCTGATACTCTCCCACCCAGCCAGTGGGATCAGAGGGATCAAATGACAACCAACAAGTCCTTGCCTAGCCCTTCCTCACCATGGAGGACCCTGCCAAGAGTGCAGATCCAGATGTGATGGTACCATCTGTGCTGTCCAGATTGCATGAGGAGAAGATGCCAGCTCCACCAGCAGCATTAATATAACAGCATGGACGTTACTGCCTTCCCACTATCACCTATAGGTCTGCAGAGGCCATTGCAGCAGACAGCAGTGCCTGCAATTAGCAATTATCCTTCAAAAGACAGGCTGGGCCAGCAGAGAGGACAGTCCTCTGGATCTTCCGAGCAAGGAGTACATATCCCCTCAACCAGTGGTTACTTAGACTGGACCATATCCCTGTTGACAATATCAAAGCCTTCTGGCAGATTGCAGATATCAGCATGGACTCTGATCTTTGGCTGCTGCCCAGAGAAAATTATTAATCACTTCGACAAGCACTATCCTAAGCAAGTTTAAACAAGTAGTGCTCCAGCAGTCAGGATTTCAGGTAATATCAAAGTTATGAAAGGTCTGAATTTCCGTCTTGTCCTGGGGACCCCTACAGTTCAGTCCTACTAATTCATGTAATCACCATGGCCAAATATTGTAGAAGTGCTTAGCAGTCTCAGTCAAGTTAATGTCTAAGATGGAAATTACCCAGCGTTATGGTGGTGTTGAAGCAAACACTGCTTCTAATACCTGCGTATAGTTACTTTATATATGAACCAGAAGAGGTTTGAGTCCTCAAAAGATGTAGGTGATTACCATGTGCTGGACTAGATTACATGCAAACCTTTACATGTGTATGTGTGGGAGAAAATGACCTGTTGAGATATATTGCAATTTTGCCCTTGATTTCAACAGGCTAAAATCCCACTTGCACAAATCCCACCAAGAGCTGGGCTGCTGTAAGAAGCAGCCAAGCCCACTCCCTGGTGGCCTTGCTTTTGAAGCACATTTGATTTCACAAGACATCCTAGTCTTTAAAAACAGCATTTATCAGTATTAATTCTATTAAGAAAGTAGGGCTTTCAGTGGGGAAAGAAACCAGCAGATTCTGGTGAATTTGGGATTCGACTTCACAAGCAATTCACTTTTTCTGTGTTTTTCTGTGATTTTTACAACATTTGTGGGAGGGAGCAAGCTGAGTTTCACAACAGTTTAGGTTCTGGTTGGGCTTCCATCACTGACAAGGGTGATATTTGCAGGTTGAAGTACAGCCCTTATTTACCTTAGTGGCACATTTCCCAGCAACTTCAACTGGGAGTTTTGTCCTCGATGTCTTTCACTGGCGGGGGTTTTGTTCCCGTGGTCAGGTCGATAACCTTCTCGTTCACCTCCGTCCCTGAGGCATGACGTTGGGCAGCATCTTTGCTCTTCTGCGGCCACAACAGCTTTGCTCCCTCTCATAAACAACCGCTTGCTTTGGGTTGATTTCTGTCATAAACAATATTTCTTCTATAACTTCATTTTTATTTATTGCCTAAAATTCTTGATTAAATGCCATCTCCTAGCAACTGGTATATTTTTGTCCCTAGTCTGCTAACTTTCAGTGCTTGGATGTTGCTCTCCATTCATTTTGCTGTCTCAGACAGAAAAGAAAATGCTAGTTTCCAGATACCTCGTAGTATTTAAATTTGTTTGTTAAATTTCTAAACAGTCACGTCAGTTAAACAGCTAACTTTATATCCACCTGTTTGTTGCCTCTACAGATGTGCTCGAGAGAAACAAAAATACACAGCGTAGTCCTCCTGTTTGGTGCATCTTTAGAAGAGAGAGACACGGGACAGGAGTGGCCTCAACAGGGGCACCCCACCTGAGATGTTTTGGGATGGGGCTCTTTTTCCCACTGTGCAAATCCTTGACATTTCTTGACATGTCAAAAGGAACATGAAGAAACATGCTTACTACCTCTGCAAACTAAACCATGTGTGTCCTCCCAGCAAGCCATGGCCAAAGCACGTGATGAATCTCAAAGAGGGGGATGGGGCTGAGTCGTGACCACAGTGAACCCACACAGTAACAAGTGCCTGTCCTGTGAAATGGGTGCAGGAAAAACCTTACATTAAAAAAGAGCCATTTCTTTTTGGCTCTTCAGCTCAGATTCTGCAACATGACTTTTAAACTTGTGTGTGGAGAGGTATTTGCAGCTTTTATCTTCATAGGTAGCACCACAGGAGCTCAGCGTACTGCAAAGAAGGACTTGTGCGTCAAAGTGGGTATCTCATCTGAAATTCTCAAAATTTGTAGGGACTTGTCTATGAATTTGGCTTCAAGGAGCATTAGCAAGTAGAGTACATCTCACCTAACTCTATTAAACCACAGTCTTTATCTGAGCTTTCTCTGATGGTCAACAGAGGGAAATGGCAGCTTTTAGGATATGCTTCATCATTGTAGATGCTTATTTTAGGCCCGGACGGAGAATCCCCAAGTAGAGCCCGTAAACAGACATTGCAGATGTTTGCTGTTGGTCAGGTGGACCCCTCTAAAACAATGGGGCAGAATCCATCCTCATACTTACAATTTCTTGTTCTCAAAGGTGTGTCATTTTTCTATCCATGCAAACTTGACTTTAGCTATTTTTTCTGTTTGCAATGGTTATAAATTGAATTTACATGTAATAAAAGATGCTGTCCACGAGCATAAAACAACAACTGATGATTCATGAATTTTATTTCTGTAACTTCTCACTTCCAGAATATCTATTTGACAAACTGTGAATCATGTATATTGGCTTGGATGGATATACTTAGCTCTGATTTGTAGAGTGAGATGTAAATAATCAGTTAATTAAATGAAATATTTCTCTGTGAATTACTGCCTCCCCTCTCTCCCCTTTCCCCTCCCTTCCTTCTGCTTTAACTCACCACTGTTCAAATCCATGATCCTGTTGTCTGACACACCTATTCCAGCAGCAGCAGCAGCAGCAGCATTTCACTCGGGACTGATGGCAGGTATGAAGATTGAAGCTGCCCATGACTTCCTGCAAAAACAACATGGTACCAGGACTAGTAACAAGCAATGGGGCATTTAATTTTACATCTCTGCTAAAAAAAGTCCTTCCCACCCCATGCTTCAGCTGTGCTGGCTCAGAGAGAAGGACACTTGCGACATTCTTTAATACCACTTTGTTTTCCTGCACATGCCCCTTCAAGGTACTGGCCAAAGCTCTGCTTCGACAGATGGGCTTGAAAGGTCAGATTTGCATCCTGCTAACTCTAAAATTCATAAAGTATCTGTGTAAGGAAGGATGATGTGTGCGAGTGATCCCCTGACAGTTGAGTGTAACTGTAGATAGCTGTGATCACCCGATGAGAACACAAATTTTGTCTGATCTTGCTGAGCTCGTTGGGTCTTGCCTGTTACATGCTATGGTCTCATCAACACCTACTGACAGATGCTCTCCTCTTGATTTGGCCAGAGGTGGCTGCTTGTCAATAGGCAATGCTGAGTGGAGCTTTTGGCAATTTTATGCAGTTTGGCTCCAGAAGGATTAAACTCTGCTCATAACACAAGGTAAGGTAACTGTTGTGAATTCAGATGGAGACCAGTTGTGCAGTTATGTATAGCAGTTTTAGGTTAAAAAATTCTGAGCACTGAGGCTTTGTAAAAGAGGGTATTTTCATTTTCCGTAGAGCGGAAGCAGTGAAGGCAGTAGGTTGCTTCTGTGCATCCTTTCTCCTCACTTCCCCATTACCCCAGACAAAGCACTACTTGCATGCAGAAAGCAAGGAGCTCTTCTCTAGAAAGCAAAGTCTGGGATGGGCTTTTCAATGGTCTGACTGTTCCTCCTGTGCAGCCCACTTCCGCGTTGTGGGACCTCCTGTTCCTTGACTCAATTTACCCTTATTTACAAAGAGAGCTCCTGCACTCAAGCTTATCAAGCTGGGTTCTTTTAGAAAAATGGAGAGCCTTAAAATACAGACTTTGTCTAGATGCAAACTGTACCATGCTGTTGTATACCTTGGAATGATATAGAGGCATTTAATAATTCACATGAATGATTTCTCCCTGTACCATAATCCAGGTCTTTCATGGATACACCTTGACAGCGTTCCCTTGATTTTGATGCACCAGTCAAGGATTTGGTCTCAAATAGCTCAAGGATGGAGGTGATGTCCCTGCAGTAAATTGGAGAAGCACAAATAAATGTCTCACATCTCTATGGCTCTATCACTTTTTAAAGCTCCATCTCCCTTGGATTTACCTTTGCACTCATAAATCCTGTGACAGTCTTGAAGGCCAAACCAAGCTAACAGGAAGCTATAATGTGCCACAATCTTCTCTGAATTCCTCTTCTTCTGAAAGGTGGATTTTCTGCCCACATTTTTGCTGCCGTAAACCTTAACCCATAGACCCAGTGTCATGAAATGGTCACAGCTTAGAAGCATGTGTGGCAGCACCTAGTCTGCTGGGTGCAGATGCTCCCAGCATCTTTTCATTTACCAGCAAGGACGTGTCTTAGGGGCCCTCCCCATGGACTGGTGCTATACCACATGATCCTTGTTCAGAAAAAAAAAGAAGGAGATAAAAAAAAAAAAGTGAGCAAAGTGGGCCATGAGAGGCAGGAGTGAGCTGGTACCAAATATGACAAAGAGGTAGAGGTAGGGCAGGAGATGTGTTGATGGGAAGGCAGAAGGGAGAGCCAGTGAGGCAGGCAAGGAGACACAGGAATGGCAATGATCTTTGCATCAGCAATTTGAATGGACAGGAAAGATTTCTTTTGTCAGGGGCGGAAGGAAGGATGTTGCGGTGAGACGTGAGACGATGCGAAGTTTATCTGTGTGGATGGAGGGGAAAGTCTGTATCTCGGCTGTGGTATGAAGGAAGAGTCTGGAAGGCTTCAGCGTAGCCTGGAAGTAATTGAGGGATGCCCTCTGGCCTCCGTTATGCACAAGGCCAGATTAGATAATCACAGTGGTCCCTTCTGAGTTTAGCATCTATAAATCTGTGAAATAGGAGCTTTAAACCACGATGAAGGGCTGAGTCCTTGGAGCATCACATTGAAAGCTCTGAGTATCCTGAGATACTGGCCTTTAATACTAGGATTTGGGGGTATAGGAAATCTATTTCAGGAGATTTTTTTTTTTTTTTAAGGTTTATTTCATCTACCTGGTTTTACAGACTGAGTTTATAAAAAAAAAAAAAAACAAAAACAAAAACAAACCTCTAATAAAATATTTAAAGCCCTCTAAATATCCCTCAAACAGTCTTTTCATAACATGTGTTGCATAAACAGGCTAGATGCTGCTGGGATGTGATATACAGACATCATCACTTTGATAGTTTGGTAAATCTCACAGCCAGAAGGTGCCACCATAGTGGTTTCCTCTGCCCTCCTGCATAATGCAGACCATGGAGCTTCAACCAGCAATTCCCACACCAATACATGAGCTACATCATGTAGAAAGACATCCATGTTTAATTTAAGGATCTTTTTGGGTGATGGAGAACCTATCCAATGTCAGCCTCTCTAGTGGTTAATTACAAGGCCATTAAGGAGAAAAACGTGCCTCGTTTTCAACTTGATTTTTCTTTTTTTTTTAGCTCCAGCCTTCCTGGTTTATATGATTTTGCTAGATTAAATAATCCTCTGATACTGCATTCCTCCTCCATGCATAGATACTTATAGATCTTGATCAATTCATCTCTTATACTCCTCTGATAATATAAATGGATTGTGCTCCTTTGGGTCATTGCAAGATAGGCTTTCAATCAGTCTTATAGCAATTCTCCCAACCTTTCTCAGTTTTTCAACATGATTTTTGAGTGTTGACAGCTGAACTGGACTATTTTTGTCTCATTAATGTCAGGTATAGAGCTAATAAACTTCCCCTACCACTCAATATTCCCATTTGTACATCTTAGGGTCATATTAGCCCCTTTAGCAAGAGCATCACACGGTGAACTCATATTCAATTGTTTATCCATCGTGACCTCTAAAGTAAACAGCCAAGAACAGCTTCCTGAATATTCCCTCTATAAAAACTCCCATGGGATCACTCTTCATTTGCAACTCCTCTTCGGAGACCTGCCATTTAACTGCCTCGTAATCCATTTAAAATGTGCCATATTGATTTTTTACAGTGCTACCATTCAAAACAAAATGAACGGCAGAATGTAAACCCCAGAATCGCTCAGATGCTTCCCAAGTACATACTTCCATGGAGATGCATGCCCGCATTTTCTATTTCACCACGTTGTAAGTCAGGCAGCTCTGTGCCTACAATGGGTAGCAAAGGAAATTGGAGTAAAAGTACCAGCCACGAACTTTCAAAACAACCAGAGAGGATAAAACTAACTTAAAGCTAAAATTTTCAGAGATGGTAGAGCTGTTATTTTTGTGCTTGGATACCAATGCCCCTTGATGGCTTTCAGGCAATATTTTGAGACAATATCCTACACGCAGGGGGTCCCAAACTGGTCTGTGGAGAAGTATCAGTCTGAAAACCCCACATAAATGTCCTGCTGCTAGCGCTTGAAACCACACTGCTTTTAGAGTGGTTTTAATTTAACAGGGAGGGGTGTGTGACTGGTGACCCAAGAGAAACACTGAAGGCTGAGGGTGGTCCTTGATCCAACACATTTGGATAATATTCCAATCTTGGTTGTCCTGTTGGTTGCCATGTCCCTCATGGGACTAGCAGAACACTGTCCAAAAGGTCTGTACTTTGGGATTAAGAGGCAGCCTGTTATGGGACTAATAACACAGAGAAAGAGGGAAAACATGAATCAAAATTTCCCTACCTAGTATTATTGAACTCAGGGAAGTGGCGGTGAGGGGAGAAGGGCTCCTTTCCCAGTGTAAGACAAGCAGCAGTTGTCACCAGGTGGAATTAGGCAGTAGGAGCCTCAGGCTCCCACAATTCCTCCCATTTCTGACAAAGTTTTACCTCCCAAGAATTGCCAAAACCAGGCTGAGTCTGGGACATGAGGGACGTGTTTAAAACCAGTTAGCATAACAGTATCCTTCATGCTCGGAGTTAAAGCTTAAACAAAGTCAGAAATAACCATGCATTTTTCCCAAAAGTACTAAAATTTCTTGCTATAACGATGACAGGCAGGGGCTTATCTGTCTTTCCTGCGTGTGGGAGCATTTTCGTTGTGCAAATGCTTGCAGCTGCACTTTTCATGTGGGACAACTTTTGCAGCTAAATAAAATTGTTAAAATGAGTTAATCAGCTTAGTACAATGGTTTCCAATATTTTCCATAAAACAATTTGCCTCCCACGTAGTCTGTGTCTCCATCCCACTTCGCAGCACGGAGAAGAGCCGACGTGCCCCTCAGGCTGAGCATCCACCGCTCAGCACCAACCATGCTCTCCCATCTCATCCTGGAAAGTGCCAGAGCAGAGCGTTCAAGCTAAGACTTACAAAGTGCCCTGGAGGGCTTCATTTCTCTGCAGTAGAACTCCCCAGTGAAGGAAAAGCATTTTTCCTAACCAGCCTACAGTGTTTGGTGGAGGCTGGAGATGACCATGCACACCCCCTCAGCCGGCCCTCTGCAGTAGATGGCTAAAGCTCTCAGGACTTTGGCCAGTTGGCTATAAAATGTTGCCTCTCTTCAGCTTACATGTGGGCTCAAAATACGTTCTTTTTCTTTTTTCTTTTTTTTTTTTTTTTTTTAAGTCCCTCATCCCAAGTCTCTTCTCCACCTAGCCCTAATACCCTGATGGTGCCCAGTAAAGACCAGATGAAGGCCTGGATGTTGTAGGTGGCCTGAAGCATGATCCTTACCCTGACCCTAAAGGGTGCCACCCTTTTTGTGTTCTTAGTCTCACTAATTGTTGCTATTTGTGCCATATAGCACAGGACTAGGACTCTCAATAAGTGTAGTGATTTGAGGTGAGAAGGTGGGCCCAATCCCTGCTGTCACTCCAGCTCTGCCTCTGTGCCCGGACAGTGGATGTGTCCCAGTTTCTCAGCTGACAGCCTGATGTATTGACTTAAATGAGTCTGGAATTATTCATAGCTACATAGTAATAGGCTTTTACCTCGAAGAAGTAGAAAAAGAAGAGCTAAATTCAGTTCCAGTTGAAAAGTAAAATAATAATTAACAAAATTAACTCTTTGACTCCTATTCAAGTCTTACCTGCAGAAATATTGGACAGAAAGAGATTTTGGTAGAGGACTTGGTCCTTCCTCTTGCCCCACCACAGGGTCAGGATTGCTGATGGTTGTTTGTTGAAGCTGTTCTCCAGCTCTTTAAGCAGTTGCTACTGCTTCAGTATCCCTGTTCCTAGAAAGCTTTTCCTAGTGTCCAGTGTGCATCCTTCTTGCTGGCATTTCAGCCTGTCGCTCCAACACAGCCATGAAGAAGAGGTTAATCCCTGTGTTCCCTAGAACAAACCTGTAGTAATTTGTCCTCTGCTTTATCTCCTCCTAAGGACAGCACCTTGGTGACAATTAGTTGAAGCAAAACTGCTTCATTTGGAAGGGTGTTTCTCATGTGCAGTAACTCAGTGCATTTCCCACGTAACGTTAATAGCAGTAGAAGGCAAGAAATCACATCAAGTGCAGAGGAGCAAGTAGAAGGCAATGACAAGGCAGTGACACGAATGAGATGAAGGCGTGCACAGAAGAGGAAAAAAAGCCTTAGACAAACTGAGTCTGGGCTGATACAACACCTCACCCGTGAGAGTGTGACACCATGCACCGAGGCTCTGACAGACCAGCGCCTGGGCGCAGTGAGCGCAACGTCAGATAAACATGAGCTGTGGACACCAACTTCTTGTCTTCCAAAGAAAATGTTTCTTTTGTACCAGGACGCTTGGTCCATTCAAATCAATGCCACTTGCAACACAATCTTTTTGGAAGACTTACAGTTTCTCTATTGAGTTTCAAGGTTTAACAGTGACAGGTGAATGCAGGTCCCATTTTACAGATAAGGAAGTGGCACACGAAGAGATGACGTGCAGAAACTTGTTCTTTCACGTACAGCAGGTCAGTGGTGGAATTGGGAACATCACGTGTGTTTCTGGGGTTGTGCTTCATTCACTGGACTTCACGGCGGAATAAGGACACTTGCTCATATCACAAGGCTTTCCTCAAATCATCACAGATCTGCTCAGTTACTAAGGTCTCATTTCAGGAATCCAATTTTTGGACATGGCATTGGAGCCCAACGGTCCAAGCAGCACAACCTGGGCCTGTAACCCATGGTAGCAGCACAGGGTAAGGTAAGCTCTGGTGGACCGGGCGACGTACATGGATATAACATAAGATCATGCAAATTGCATCAAGGACTAATCGTCACTGGAAGGCAAACAACCAAAAAAACAAATTACACAACTGGTTGCTCCACTGATGACTTCTGAGTGACAAACTGTGAATGAAGAAACTGTAACCCCATCAGTGAGATTTATAATGCAAAACCCATATGAGCACACATGGAAAGTCCTTGTTCCACAGCATCGGTAGCTATTTTCTCTGTCTCCAGGGAGGAGTATTTCATTATCATGGTGGCTGCTGTTTCATTATAAAGCAGATCTTATTTAGGTGGCATACTGTTTATAATGGAAATAATCTTAGTGTGCAGCATCCAGAGTAGTAATAACATGGTGCCACTGTAAACCCTATGGAGACTCCAATGGCGAAAAGGATATGTGACATAGAACTTGTTTTCTTTACTTGTATGATTGTTCTAATTTCCTTCAGCCCAAGATGTAACGTGCACAGCTCTGTATGAAAACTGAGCTTTCCCTGATAATATATTCTTCTCACTGACAAAGTTTTTGGTGTAGAAAGCTTTTTAAAGATATAAACAGAATTTAGTAAATTGCAGCCCCATCAAGCGATGTTACAATAAAAAACATGTGATTTGTGGGTTTTTTAGATGACAATTTATCTTGACTTTGTCAGTTATGCTCCACACTATATAATTTGTTCTATTATTTTGTATTAAGCCCAGTATTTTATGTTTGACCAAAACATGTCATCAGTCTACCTTACAAATGCGAGAACATTCAGAATTATGGCTGAAAAGAATAAAAAAACCACATATATAGGAGAACTTAATATCATGCTGGAATTTCGGAATTAGTTTTTCTGAAAACTACCTTATCCACTGACTTCTAAATTACTCTCATGCCATAAATACTGAGAATAAACAGGGGGTGGGATGGGAGTGAAATGCCATGCACCATAAACAGTGTAGTACCTGCTCCTTTTGTGGTTCAGCCCCCTTAGAAGCTGCTTCACTGCTTACACGGGCATCCCCTAAGTTGTGAGCAATAAAGGTGATGAAAGCAGAATACCTCCTCGCAGTGTGCAGTGTCTGCTCGCAGTCGCACCGCACTAAATCTGGGCTAAATCGAGTCGAGTCAGCGCAGTCGGTGTGGATTTACACCCAAACCCGCCAAGCAGAACACAGCCCTTTGCTCAGTTAACACCTCCTGGTTCATCAACGACTATGTTGCATTTACACAGCACCTGCACCCTGCACAGCACACCGCTGCGCAGACCCCGAGTACCACAGCTGGGGAAGGACACGTGCGGGCGAGTGAAAAGCTCTGCCCGCCCTCAGGTGCTGGAAACCCCCAATGAGACCCGTCAGAGTGTCAAGTGTGAGTGGCTGCTGGCAAAAACCACTGAGGGTTTGTTTTTTTTTTTCTCTCCTTCTGTTCATGAAATGGATCAAGCCCTGACCTTGTTTAAATCAAACAAAATACTTTTACTGTATAATAAAAATTCCATGTTTTAATACATCGCCATGCACAAATGAAGTCAACAATGCAGAGTAAAAAATTGTCAAATATACAAAATGATAAAGCAGATATCCAAAGCTTCCAGAGATCATGCCCAAAGATACCAAAAATTTGATATTGATTTTTATTTAATTGTTTAAAAGAACTCCTCCCTCCCACCTGGGTTTTACTTTTTGTTGATTTTTGAAAACAGAAGGAATTAAAGAGTAAATATAAAAACTGTAGGGTGGAATTAACAGTGATGGCCACTTTGTATACTAAAAGTTAAATTGCATGATCATTTCTGTTTTGGGAAAGAAAGCACTGTTGTAGAGAAGAACACCTTGGATGCCTCGGGAAATGCAGGGTACGTCAAACAAAAAGGCACACTTTTGTCTTATGCCACCTCATTTGGCTCCATCTTTTGAAAGTTCAGCCACAGATGGACTGGGAGTAACAGTGCGTCACTTTTTAACTGTTAAGAGTGCTGGCATTTTCCTAGATTTTCAACCAAGTTAACATTAAAAGGAGATCACTGGCTGATAGTTCCTTAGTGAATGTAAACCAGAGCTGACTCCCGAGGCAGCTGGGCCAGACACAACTTGCTGGTGTCAGGAGACTGTTTTGACCGTACAGCACGGCCATGGGCTCGCACGCAGCCTTTCTGCAAGCAGCTCTTCTGCATCGGGCCACCAGATCTCCCAGGAGCTTGACCCCAGCCTCGCTCCCCTCCCGGCAGCTCACACCCAGCATCAGCTGCCGGTGCCGACGCGCAAGCGCAGCCTGGCATCTGATTCTGTCCATGGGCTACTGATTTGGAGGCAACCTCTGGAGACAACTCCAGCCGTCAGTTATCTGCGCTCCTCAAAGTCAGGTTCAATCAACCTTTAATTCAACTCCCCCAAATACAGGAGCTCAAATTCAGAGCCCCCTTTGCTGGTTTACACTGCACAGAGCCAGGCAGGCATTACTCCCACCTTACTCCCACTTGTGGAAAAAAAAAAAAAAAAACAACCAAAACTGTGAGGCAGGTCCAGATAGCTACAGTCCCTATAGAAAACTGAAAGGAAAACCCAGCACTTCCAAAACATGTCCCTGCCACTTTCAGGTTCTGCAACAACTGTGAGATAGTTAAAAATATGCCTCTTAGGCTCGCCAAGTGTCTCAGCAACTTAGTGCAAAGCAAAGGAGTCTTCTTCTCAGAGCACGCAGCCTCTTTGGGGAAATGCTGGTCATTCCCATTGCCAGAGCACTGCCCTGTGCAGTTCATCTGTATTTTAGGGGAAGCCCATCGGACAGCAGCAACCCCAGCTGATGCCCTGAAACACAGGGTCCGATTCTGCAAGGTAACGTGCCTCTTGCAATGGTCCCAAGCGAGTGCTCGGCACAGCACAGGGCTCTGGGCTCCGCTGGCGGGCTGGCCCCGTCCCTCCCCTCGGTCAGGGGCGTTGGACTTGGGGAGAAGCCTGAGATCTGGGTGTCATGCCGAGATGCTTTGCATAGGCTGGAAGCTCATGTCCCTCTGTGCTTTCTCTATTGCCACTTAATCTCTTTTTTACCTTTCTCAGAAAAAAAGCAGATAAGGAACTTTTGGCATACAAGGGATGCAGATGAAGTGGTAAAAGGACTCCAAACATTTCTTTATCTGGACTGGTTTTGAGACCAGAGCCTGGCTCAGTAGGGAAAACCTGTCCAGATGTAAAACTGTGCTCTCAATAAACAAACAAAACAAACAAGTTCCTTAAGCATTTGATGGGGCAGATCATATTTTTTTTTCCTCCTCTGCACAGCTTCTTATTGCTTACATGCAGTTTTGCTGCAATATCGATCTCCCTGCTTTATAAAACCCTGTGTATCGCTATTTAATTTGGTGACTTATGGTATTAAATAGATGAATTCAAGGCAAGTGCTTAATAGAAGTAACATGATTAGAGATTTAACAACAGCTACAGAGGATTTTTTTTTTTTTTCTGAAAAGGTATTTAGATATATTTCGAATTAAAATCAGAAAAGAGCTATTCATTTCATTGTCAGACTAAGCCTGGAAGTGTTATAATAACACTGGCAATTCTACTTCTATGGCAGAAGCAGACATTATATAGTCATCTGCAAGATCAGCTTCTCCTCTGTCCAGCCCGACCCCAGCCGTGCCCGTTAAGGACCACTCTCCTCCAGAGCTGCAAGGTGTCTCGGCAGTGTGAGGACACTTGTAAGATGCCAGTGACTCTGCAGAATTTATTTGACAGGCGGCTGGCTAGTACCAATGTTTTTTAAACAATAAATCTAGACCAAACTAATTTTCTTAGGATTTCACACTGGATTAGAGCAAGAATCCCCCAAAATCTTTATCTTCTTAGCTATGGCTGTAGCTAGCTCCCTTCTTGTTTCAGCTTCTTGATGTCAATTCAATACCAATTTGCAGTAAGTATTGTTGTTATAGTTTCTTTTGTTTGCATGAACTGTTTACTCTTCAAACCATCCAGCCTAGCCCGTGCTGTTCCCCACCGCTGGATGAAGCCCAGCAGAACTCTTGACAGTTCACACTTGCCTTGCACCTATTGACAGTGGTTTTGTGAAACCTGAATCAGATGCTGAGCGCTCCTCTCCTTGTCTCTATGGTCCAACGTTTAAACCAGCCCACAGTGGTAGGGCCCAGTCTTGCAAAAACCCACTGCTGGGAGCAGCTGTCATTACTCTGGTTAGTCCCACTGAAGTCATTTCACTTCCAGGGCTTTGTTAACCAGCTCCGATGGGGCTCGTCATGATGGCAGGAATAGTTTTGAAGCAAGGAACTCGTGTACCGTGTTCAGCTGCACAGCAATACAATATAACTCTCAGTCAGCACCACAGCTTCTGTGCCAGTTATTCATGGCAGGAAAAAAAGCGTCTTGCCAGCAAGATGCTACCTCCTTACTTAAGAGGCAAACCCATAGTTGTTATTCCTTGCTCACACTACATATCCACTTGGCCCCAGCATGAGTGCAGCATTTTATCCGAGGCTGTTATTAATGAAATACAGCAGACTTTCTCTTTGTGTCCAAGGTTTTTTGTTGTCCTTTCTGGTCCAGTTCTCTTTCTTTATGTGCAGAAGAACCTTACAGCTATGAGCAGACCTGCCAATGATCACACCAAATGCTCACAAGCACAGCTCTGTTCATATAAGGTGTTTAAATTAAGACCATTTTGTGTGAAAAAAATGGTTATAGGTTGCCTTGCCTTCCTGTAATATTGGAAACTTTAAGATATTTTTCATTCAGAAGTTTACATCTGATGATCTAGTCTAATCCTTGCATAACACACCCCTAATAACCTCATCCAGTAACTGCCGCACTGAGCCTGGATTTCAGTTTGAGGTAGAGCTTATTGACTTAGAAAAATACTCTGCATACATTTAAAGACTTTATGTGATGGAGAACATGCCAGGTAACTAACTAAGTTGTCTCCACAGGTAATTATCCTCCCTGTCGAGCATTTGCACTTAATTTCTAGCCTGAAATCAGTTTCCAGCCAGTAGAGCACATCATTCTCTTTTCTTCTAAATAAAAGAGCTACCTGCCTTCAGACAGCACTTCCCTGCCCAGGTAGAAGATTTTGATTGCAGACAGAGATCAAGTCAACTCTTCAAATTGCCTCTGATAAATTAATAGCTTCAGCTTCATTAGTCTGACACTATAATAAGAACTGTTTTCCTGCCCTTGAATGACACTGGGAGCTGTTGAAAATAATATTTCCAGGTTGTCGATACCATTTTTGAAAGACAGGCAGTAACTAAACTGGAACAGCATTGCTATTGCAAGGTCCTACAACCCAGCTGGCAAAAGCATCTCTGGGGCTGATGTTGAGCGGATTATTGATCACAACTTGACAGCCACTGTATTATTCCAGATGTACTCCCCATGCCTGCAAGTTGGACTTGCTGCCATCTCTCCTGGATTTCTGACTTTGCCATCCTCCAGGTTACTCTCTACCACTGACCTGCTCCATATCATTATTTACCATGCCACTCCTTTTGTCATCTCTGGCTGTTGCCAGCAGTATTTTTCTCTTTCCCTGGGAGGAATATTGAAAATACAGCATACCTTGGGATGCTGTTACTCATGAGAAGTAGTCTTGCTGATGCTAATTTCATATTTGTAGCTATTTTTTGTGATCTAGCCTGTAATCAGTTTTAATCCACTTAATATGGGTGATATTGATTTTGCGTTGTGCTATTTTGTTATCAGAATCAAATGATCTATAGGAGGCTAAGTATAGTATGCCAGCAGAGCTACTTTTGTCAACAAGTCTTTGATATCACAAAAAAATGATAGCAAGTTTTTTCACCATGATACATTTCTATAAAAATCATTTGGGGGGTTTTGTCAATTTTTAATTGCTTTAATGAATGTGCCATATCAACCTTTCCATGATTTTGCCTAAGACTGATAGGAAGATAATGAGCCTATAGTTTTCTGGGTCAAATCACTCATTCTTTTAAATTACTGGGGTTTTGGTGTCATTTGAAGCTTCTTTTATGTTTCCCGGTTCTGAGGAGTCCTAGATAAGTTTTTCCTTCACTTTTGGATTCAGTTAATGGTTCTACAAATTTAAAAATATGTTTGGATAGTTGCTGCTTAATATTACCCGCAATTACTGATGGAGTAGGAGGAATTACATTTTAATGTGCAATCTGACTCCCTCCTACTGCTTTCAAATACAAACCAAGAATATTTGTTGTTTATTGCATGTACTGTGAGTAATCACTGTGCTGTGCCTGTCTAACATCAGATTTAGCTTTGCTAGGATAGTATTTATTAGGATATATATAAAGCCTTTGGTCTAACCAGTCCTAACCTATTGACCACTGACTTCCCATATCTTTTTTGTCTTCTCTCATCAAACATTTACTTTTCTTACTTGCTGATTTATCCTCATGAGCCAGCCTAATCATCCATATGTTATGTTGGTGGGTTTTTTTTGCACTCCAGACAACTCCTGAATTTTACTATAGGAGGCTGCAGGTAATGGCGGTAGTACTTTCCCCCTCACCTGTCAATTTTAATTATATCAGTGGACCTTTTCTTTTTAAATTAAAATCCTATTGACCACAGTCTATATATACCAGGATCAATTGCAGTGCAGTCCTGCAGTGGGGCGTTCAAGGAGACGCTGACAGCAGAGATGTTAATTGTTAAAAGGGGACCAATGTGAAAGATGCAGGGTTTTACTCAGCTTGCCTGAGACAATTTTGAATAACTGAGATCTTGTGGCTTTGTGGTGGGTGGAGGGAGGTTAGTTTTAGTGATGACAAAAAAGCCACCCCAGGCCTGGCTGGCACTAATCAACACAGCTCCAGAGAATCTGATGGAATAGAGCCAATGTAAGTCTGCTGGGGGTCTGGCCTGGGGTCTTCTGAAAATTCAGGGCAGAACAAAACCAGAATTTTGTCATTTTTAATGGTTTGATTTCCTCAATGACGCTGCAGCTGCTATTGAGTGACAACACTTATCCTAAAGAACAGACAGGGAAGGATGAATCCACAGGTACAGCATGGCCATGCAGCTGGATGCCCAAAACCAAACAGCTTGTGGAGCTTTTTCAAACTCCTCTCCTGGAAGGCTGCATTTCCCTTAACAGAATAATTACCTGGATATCTGGGCAATTACCTTAACAGAATAAATAGTGGGTGTTCAGGCACAGAAAGCTATGCAGATGAAAAAAAAAAAAAAAAAACAAAAAAACCCCACAAAACAGTGCAAAGGATGCTCTCAGCTGCAGTGTGTTTTCTGGGGTGACCAATTCCTTCAGGTTTCCAGTGCAGGACTTCCCACGGTTTGAAGCACTTGGGATGGCCAGGTCTCTGTCAGAGCTTCTTAGCCACATCTGATGCTGCAACCTTTCTTGACACAAAGAAACTAGGCGAGCGTAGCGGCAGGGAGAGGTACCGGGCACGGGAGGAAGGCTGCAGGTCTGCACACAGGGAACAGTGTCCTGATCGCAATAACGTTTTGTTTCGGAGATAATAACTAGTGATCAGTGTAACAGCAGCACTGGCCTTTGCAAACTTATCTATCTTCACAGGGCTGATAATTGCTGTTTTATGAAAATAGCATTAGTCTCCCACTCTTTTGCACTGAACTAATGGCTCTGAGTGTATTTAAATTCACTTCCTTTGCCGGAATAACTTATTTGCTCCCTTTCATGTTGACTTGGTCTTTGGCACTCTCGACATAAATGATTTATTGACTAGAGATAAAGAATTCTTTCCCCTGAACTGTTCCTGCGACCCAGGCAAAAGCGGATGTGTCTGCTATTAATAAGGTGTTCAGCATAAAAAATGCAATAGACTTGATTGTCTGCACTCAATAGCCTTTCCGAGAACACAGTACCTGCCCCCATTCATAATAACAAAAATCTCTCCTGCATGTTTATTTATATTAAAAAGTTTTCAGAAGAATACGCTGGAATCCAGATAGTTGTTCAGGAGATGCAGAACAATTTCATAAATATCCCTGAGGAAGCATGGCCTACTTTGGGAGAATAACAGTGATTAGAAAATCCAAACACAATGAATAGTTAAATACAAGCCAAAAAGTACAGTTATTTCCTTATGGCTCTGGCAGACAATTACACACATGAGAAGTGTCACGGGGCTCGGGGGAACTATGCTTGCAATTATCCACATGCACAGGCTGGCTGTAGGCTGGAGACCTACACCAGCTTCAAAGGAGATTTGTCCGATAGGCACCTACAGCAGACTTCTCACTGAGTCTGGCTACACAAGGGTCTGGACTTGATTTTCACATTTCTCAGGGCCTGAAACACTGCTTTTCTAGGTCATCATAGCTAAAATCCTGGGAAGCTTTTAAAACAAACTGTTTTAACAGGAGAAGTGCACACATCTAAATTCATGCCCATATACTGGAAGATGTTCAAAACTAACATTGATACAAAAAATGCTTCTAGTGGCTCTCTGCCTAACTCAACTTCTTCTCGTACGCCCTTTTAAGATAACACTCTCTGATAAACTCTTCTTTTATAATTCAAATTATTCCAGATTGTTTCACTGGGTAGTAAAAGAAGAGAAACCATACTGTAGAAGTATAGCATTCTCCTTCTTTTTAAAATAACTTATATCAAAGTGGGTTTTTTTAATTGCTGTACCAACATGAAATTGATGTCAGTTGCCAGAGTGTATTTTTAAAACCTGTAACATAAAGAGCTGTAAAATTTGCTAAAGCTTACAGTGGACCTGTGCCATGCGCATGGCTGGGTCTCTTGGTATCAGATTCCAACCTGCAGCCCTATGAAAAGCTCTAAAAAGTGCAAATGTTGCCATTGGCAAAGATTCTTATGTCTTAAGGAGAATTTTTACACCAATTAATTTAAAATTAGGGACCAGGATTTTCAGAAAAAGAATGTAGATGCTTACTGCTTTGTAATTCTTGTGAACTCCATTTCAGAACCCATGGAAAGACCCAAACCATTAGAAATCATTAGTAACTTCTGAGAATCTTGGTCATCAGTAAAAACAATTTGCTTTTGGACTGGATACTATAGAAATATCCAACAGGCTGAATTTGAGATGGGTGGAGAGCTGAAACCTAAGCCCATATGCATCTGAAAAAAATTAAGCCCTAAAGTTATTTATCTGTTTGTTGTATGGGCACCCTCAGTGGTTGACCTTCCATTCTGTAGCAATGAACTGTACAATAGTTTTAAAGCATTATGACACAAGAGCTTCCTCTAAAAAGGTCCCTTGGACTTGTAGCTGCACATTCTCTCCATCGCTGCATCTTCACTCCAGTACGGCGTCTCATCCAGTTTGGCATACATCCTAACAGCGACTCTATAGTACACATCTATTAGGCTGGAGAGAGTGATGGTCTTTAAATACACAAAAAAAGCTACCTTTGATTTTAAAGAAAGAAGGAACAAATAAGTAAGTCCCCTCAGTATGTTTATGGCATCAGTTCATTATAAAGAGTGTGTCAAGAAGGTCCTAATGTGAGGGATAGACACTAATTCCACTGAGTCCCCAGGGAAGAAACAGTACCACAGCCAGCTGTGATACAACCAGTGATGAGGCCAGCCATTCAGAGACTGAACAAAAAACAACGTTCAGATTGAATGCAACAGTCTTGAGCCTGCTACAGTATATTGAAAGGCTTATTGGAACCATTTGCTTATTCCCAGTTCCTACCAAAATACTGTTTTGGATAGAAAGTGGAAAAAGTTAATGAAGAAGTCTGCCCTCTCCAAAGGGAGTGTCTTGCTCCTTAGAAGTATAGTCTTACACTTTACCTTGTTCAGAGAGTTTGGTTTGGACTACGATTCCCCAGCCCTGCCCAAAACATAAATGGTGGCCAGCATAAAGAACCTGAATTCTTCCAGTATATTCTGGTTCTATCGTAGACCAAACCCAAGGTCACACATATCTTTGAGAAAGGCTTTGCCTCTCCCTTGCAAAGTAAGAAAACACATTGGCACACTAGAAACAAGAACCTTTGATATTTGGTGAACAAGAGGGAGAGCAGACAGTTTCCTACAGCTCATTCAACCTACCCTGTGACAGCTACCTCTGTGACAGCTGTTCTCTCAGTCTCGATAAAAGAAGTCACACCTCTGCCACGTGCAAATCTATCTACACAATCTACTGTGAATCTGTGAAGGTATGCTAGCAGTGGACTTCAGTGTGGATGCAGTCTCAGCACAAAGACTGAAACATATCCTCAGTATTTAAAAAAAAAGACCATTATATATATATGGACTGTGCTAGTTCTGTGTGGAAAGCACATATGAAGTGCTGATATTGTTTAACAGAATACCATTAGACTGCAAAACTAACATATACAAGACGTTTACATTCCTATCAGGGTTTAATATTGTGAACATATCCACTGAGATTGGAGAATTGCTGTAAGTTTTTCCTAAAACATCATGCCATCTGCATACATAATAAAAGAATCCAGTAGTTGCCATGCTAAAACAGGACTTCTAGTGAAGGGCATAGACAGTCCCCTAAAGGGAACTCAAAAGTTATGCACAGTGATGAAAACTGGAAGGAGTATTCCAGCTAAAGGTCTGTCATGACCATTTTCAATAAATTAGCACTGGATATTATGCACCACATTTTTACTCCACAGCAGACCAGGTTTTCCCAGAATGCATCATCTTGAGTGGGCTGATTTTACTTCAAGTTTGTCTTCAATCCTCCATGGTCACCTTCTGGCAGTGCCATTTATTATGTTTTTTTTTCATGAAGGAAAGTTCCCTTTCACATCAAGTGGCAGGACAGAAGCTTTAGAGGCTGGAAATGTTTATGGAGAGCTCTCTGCTGGGGCTGTAAGAAACAAAAGAGAAAACCAAACCCAGACAGTGAGTATAGAACAGAGCAAAGGAATTACCATGTATTTCAACTAAAAAAAAAAAAAAATTAGGTTTGAGCTGAGGAAGTGTACTTCTGCTATAAAGACTAACTACTCCTAGCATATATGTTGTGACCCTGGTACTTTTTGAATCAGCTTCACTCATCAACCAAAAAACTCAGTGCTTAATCAATTCCTTAGATAAATATAAAGCGCAGACCAGCAATAATTTGTATGATTTAACAATTCTACTTGAATTTTATTGCCTCACGTGAAAGAACTGCTTCCTCTTCCTCTAGTCTGTGTCCCAGAGAGCAGGCTCTTCTGTTTGGCTGGGCTTGCATTAACTACTGAAGGTTTGATAGCCAAATGTGGGAAAGGCTCCACCAAATGCCAAACTAGGAGCTGAGGTTCCCTCACCATTTCTGCTGGAAAGGATGGCGAGAGTTGGCCATTGTTGCATAGGAGATGTGAAAACAGCTCACCCACTTCCTTCCCTCTTTCGGAGCCCATAAGATAATTAGGAGGTTGCAGAGAGTTTCTCTTTCACTGTTAAAAGCAGTAAAGCACACTCAGCTTTGGTGGCTACTATTCCTTGCCTGACAGCCCTTGCAAAGCAGTAAGGTGATCACACCATAAAGGGGGAATATGTGGAGGTTATTTGTAACTTCTCCTCCCCTCCACCCAAACTCTTCTTTGAGATGCACAGCAAAATCACGGGAGGTAATGGACACAAGATGCAACAAGAGAGATTCCAGTTAGGTACAAGGAAAACAAATTCTTCCTAGAGAGGGTGGTCAAATTTTGGAACAAGCTACCCAACCAGGTTGTGTGTTCTCCACCTACAGAGATATCCACAACTCAACCAGATAAGGCCCTGAACAACTTAACCTGGCCCTGCTTTGAGCACGGTTGAGTGGAATGATTTCCAGAGGTCTCTCCCAACTTAAACTGTGCTATGATTATGCATTTTCTGATTGGGATTTGTGCTTCCTGTTCTGCCTTTCTGAACAAGAGATGAGTGCCCATGCAGGACTGTTGACACTAAAGCGCGTTCAGTCATTTATTCGGTATGTAGCCATGAAAATGCATGTAAACCTGTCACAGGCTCAGGCTCATGCTAGCCTCTGGAGCCAAGAAGCCATGCAGAGGCAAGTTCACTGTGTTATTTCAACGTGTTTGGACACAGCTTTGTTTATCACAGAGCCCTCACCCATCACCAGTTATGGACCAGATGTCTGAGCAGTGCTGGGATGGGACTCATTGCAGTGGGCTTTGCACCCCTTCCAGCTGATGTCCTGCCTCTTGCATGAAAGGACGTGTCTGTATGCGTGGGAAGAGTTGGATCGTTGTTTTTTTGGGGCCAGAGTCCACATTGTGAGGCTAATGGGATACCGATGCTGCCAAGGCAGCATTCATGTCAGCTGAAACTCAGGCTGACAGTGAATTTCTGCTTCTCATCCCTTCAAAATCATGCCCGGTGGTCTCTTCTCTGCAGGGTGTGGGCTGACTGGCTCTGCCAAGCTGTCAGTTTGTCCATATTTGCCTCGCCCAACCCAAACCCAAACTCTTGTAGCAATGGACATGAAAGTCTGAGAGGGGAAAGGATGAGATGTTAAATCAGTAGGTTCTGGAAGAATGCTGAATAAGATTTAAAAAAAACCCCACACCCTGCCGTGAGTACTTTACTCCTCAGTGTAAATACGTCCTATGAAATAGAAGAACAATAAAACCCTGTCTTGTTAGCTATTTCCTTCCTTATGTGGGCATATTCACCTGATTATGGTGCTACTTTTGATTTCGGTTTTTACAGCTGCCTTGCTTTTATTCTCAAGGTTCTCTAGTGTGATGATCCTACCACCAACTACCATCATCTACTACATGACACACCCATGTTAGTAGCGGCCAAAGAAAGTTGCATGTTTGGGACCCAGCAACTGTTTTATTCTGTTATATAAGAATGGACAGGAGGGTTTTGAGCCTTCAGCTGGTCTAGACAGATAACTGACCACATCCACCAGGACAGAAAAGAAAGCAATGGTGACATTAAGCAGGTTTGCAGATAAAGGGGAAATTGAGAAGAGGAGGGAGGTTTTAAACTTGGAAAGAGGCAAACTGGTACCTCACCTCGAAAGTGTTTGATTCCAGGTGAACTGGAGGATATCTCCCATCTGTGTAACATCAACAGAAATGGGCTGGTCTCACAAAGGAGAAACAGGACCTTTTTTGAGGTTAAATAGCTCATCTGCTGCAAACAAGAGAAAATTTGAAGAGCTCTTCCAAGTAATGGAAGATATCTTGCCTAGCCACCGAGTTGCAGGACTAAAATGAAATGGGTAAACTGGCTAATTATATGAGGTCAGGCCTCAGGATTGCACTTGTGCTGAAATTCCCCAATCATCCACATTGTCCCAGCCACTGGCGTGTACTTGTGCGTAAGTTTGAAATGAGCCAGGTGGCCCTTCAGACAGAAACCCGTGAACGAGGAGAAATGGGGACTGATCCCAACCTGAGCTCCACCCTCACTGCAGAGGGAGCACAACCGCTTCGAGCCACACAGGACACCTAACAGAGCCAGTCCAGACACAACCAGCAACACTGCCCAAGGGAACAGTAGTAATTCTGTTAAGTTCTGCACTTAGAGCAAGCAAACTGAGGATTTAGTGGTCATCTAGCCCATTTCTTCTCTTTCCTTCTCACTTTGTCTTTTGAGGACAGGGTTTTAGAAGCACTTATTCTTCCTCATTACTTATATAATTTTTGGTGCCCAGCTGGAGACTCCTCTAAGGACCCTGGTTTTCTATCAGTATGTACCCAGCACTTTCTGAAAGTAATATCTTTTTCAAAGGTATCACAAATGAGCAGTTGTCTTTGAAAGCCTTGCCTGAGACTGCAAGTTCTTGGAACGAAGACCGCCCTTTGCAGGGGGTTTGCACGCTTACCAACACAACAGCGTACAGATCTAATCTCACATGACATTTTCAAGAAGCTGCTGTAGAAAGACAACAATAATTTCAAAGCCAGTGACATATTTCGTTTTTTGAGTACCTGTACTGTGTAATTTTTTTTCTAACTGGGAAAGGGACATATTTTTCATGAATATTAAACATGTATTAATTCAGCTCAACCTAGCAGTATTACCTATTTGTCACATTTTTGTAATAGAGGGATTCTGATAAAGCAAACAAGCATCTATTATCTTTGCTAGGTTTCTCCTCCTGGAACTAATTTTATAGTATATTTCTAAGGTTAGGACATTTCAAACATGGGATTATTATGTAAAAATACTATCTCCACCATCCATATACCAACTATTCCTTGGAGTCTGGTGAAAAACTGCATTCAGCTACATTTACTAGTATTTTTCTTGTGTCAGAAAGGCCACAGGTATTTCACTTCATGCTACACATGTCACTTGAGACATTATAATATTCTGCACATTACTGCAGACTTGTTGCATCTTCCTACTTGCTGGTTAGAGATATTACTAGTTTTGAAGCATTTTTTACACTGGCAAAAGGAAATGGCTGGCAGCCTATTTGTAGATTTACCCCTTTATTGTGCATTGAATTATTACTCTTCAGGTGTGACAGTGTAAGGTGTCTCTGTGAGGCTCATGGAAGTTTATGTGAAAACAAAATATCTACTTGGGGAGCTGCTGATCTCAGTCAGTCACCATGGTGGGAGAAGGATTAGCAGGGGCTGGGAAATGCTGCCACATCGGTAGGGACAGAAACCATTTGCCCCAGGTCAGAGGGGACCAAAGTTGTACCAGAGTTTGGTTTCACTCCATCACAAAACTATCCCATTACTGTCCTGTGTAAACAGCAGCAGTTCTCTTAACCTTTAGGTAAAAGCAGCTATTGCTGCACATCATTATTACCTAACAGGTCGCTGATAAGCAGAGTCAACAGTGCCAGAGATCCAAGGTTACCTCAAACATTTGCACGCTTGTAGCTGGCTGGAGCCAGCACGGAGGAGGTGGCAAAGCAACACTTGCCAGGCTGCTCCGTCCACCTCCCAGCCGCCGGCACTCATCCGAGCAGCCCCGGCTCGCACAGGCAGCAAGTCCAGCCGCAGGCTGCACAAAGACAGCAAGCTGCCTCGCTGCAAGTGTCACAGCCCAGCAGCCTCTGTTAAACAGTGACACATTAATCGATGGACTGAACGCAACACCCAGCAGCTGAGAGAGAAAGCAGAGATGTGGATGGTTCTTGATAAGACTGCCAATTTTGTTTTGATTCACAACCAGTCATGTCTTGGTCTGGCTTGCCTGATTTTCTCCTCATTACTAAGACCTCCTAGCTGATAGAGTCTTGAAGGTTATTTAAAGTTGTTTGTCAAACACAGTGTCAATACAGTAGAAAAATAGCAAGGGGGAAAGGAAGAAAGTCTCTTCTTGCTTTTGATTTTTTAATTTGCTTGACAAGAAGGAAATCCCAAGACTTTAGTTTTGGAGTAGCTTGACAGAAAAGGTGGATCTATAAGCACAACATCTAGACCATCCCAACTGTTCAATATTGTTCTGGGTTGAGTTTGTGGTGGAGTTTTTTGGTGGAAGGGAAGGGGCTATTGGGGCGGCCCACTGTGAGAAGCTTCTTGAAGCTCCCCCAGCTCCACGTCAGCTTCACTTCTGTTTGGGAAATTGAGCCAATCGGCTGCGCCTCTGCGATAACGTATTTAAGAAGGGACGTGGTGACGGGCAGTCGGACTTGTGAGGAGGAGTTGCTGCAGCTGCATGAACACCAAGGTCAGTGGAGGAACGGAAGAAGAAAGGAGGGGGGAGGTGTGCTGGAGCAGAGACCCCCCCTGTATCCTGTGGGGAGACGGCAGGGCGGCCCCCCCCGCCACCCATGGAGATCTACAGTGGAGCAGACATTGATTTGTGGCCTGTTGCTCCTGCTCGGATTATCAAGGTTCTGTGCCCGAAGAAGGCCGGGGTCTCATGGGAAAAGGTAGCCCCGCTGCTGTAATT